CTGAAGACAAGGAGGTTTGGGGGGAAGGGTTGAGGACATGGTTAAAGGTGTGATCGGTGCTCTCCCAGTGGGAAGGGAGGGAGAAATGGGCCAGCACTCATACCAAACAGTGCAGAGAGCTGCTGGCCTTAAAATAAACACGTGCAGGGATCTGTGCAATACCCCCAGGGGCTGATGAGTCACTCAGTGAGAGGCACAGATCATACAGCACAGTGCCTATCTAGAGACACAACCTTGGGTGATACGCCTTGCAAAGAAGTGACTTGGAGCACCTGCTCCAACCATGGTCCCTGGGGAAAGAAGAGAGAGAGAGAGGAGAGGTGGGTGGATATTCATCTGCAGTGACCCATTAGCATCAAAGAAGTAACAAAGAAATCAAAACCTTAAATCAACAGGCCACAAGAGGGTATTGCTTTCTTGGTTATTGGGATGGGGTCTGGGTTTGCCACTAAGCATGATGTTCCCTGAACCACTACAGACCCTTAAAACAGTGGTGAAAACTTTCATGTGGTTTATTGCTGTCTCAGTGCACAGGCTGCATGCTTAAAAAGCATCTCTGGTCTTCAGCAGAACGGTGCAGGTCCCATTCCATGAAGCATCTCATTTAAATAACATTGCAGGTTTAGTGATTTCTTGAGTCTCGGCTCCCCCAGAGAGAAACAAAGTTCCACCGTGAGCTTCCAACAGACCTGCCACCTCCTTGAGCAGAGCATCACTTCTGCTTAGCAGAGATTTAAATTCTCTAAAGGATGATGAACCAGCACCCGCGATAGCTTATGACCCTACAAAGCAGCCTCTTGAATTTAGACTAGACATTTCTAGATGCTTTTCTAATCAGGGAGGAAGTCTTTATTTACTCCAAATTGTCAAAAATTTTTCAACCCAATTTCCCTGGCTCCTTCTCCTTCCTTACACTGCAGGAATTTGTACGCTGTTACAGAAGCGTCCGCCAGCCACCCCCACTGCAGCTGGTGCTGCTCTGCAAAGAAACCTCCAAACCCAAACTGCAAGGCTGTGGTCTATTTTAAAGTGAGGCATCACTGAATAATGCTATAGATCGGCCACAGGGGAGTTTGCTTAGTAGAGAACTTGGCCAAAGAGGACTTCGACAACCACAAAGACATTTATATGGCAAGGCCAAACTGAGCTCATGTATACTCTGCCTTTCCAGAACTGAAAGGAAGGAGGGTGGGTGTGGAAGCATCTCCAGGAGCTAAATGATATCCATGTGTTAGGAGAAAACAGAGTTGCCGGAGACCTACAAAAATAGGATAAATCTTGACTGATTTTTTGCATATTTAAAAATTAAATCATATTGTTGCTGTAGGAGCTCCAGCTGCTGGGGGTGGGGTGGTGGTTTTCCAGTTGCTTGATCATCTAGTGAGTTCTGCTGGCACTGTGACAGCAGAGCAGGTAGCAAGCATGGTTGCTTATTCACACCACGTGCTGTGGGGAAGAGGAAAACAGCTGAAAGCAAATGGCTAGATTTAATTGCACCCTGGAAGACCCTTACAGAGAGCTCAATTAGCGCAAAACATAAAGAAAACTACTGCTTTGGGCCCAGCTATCTTGAGAAATAGCTCGCCTGCAAGGGAGAACTGAAGGCAAGACCTTCAGCACAGGCCTGCGCATGCAATAACCCAAGATGCTAATGCTCCTGGGCCAGGAATAAGATGAGAAAAAGCATCTGTGAAGCTGACTTCTCCACCTAAACACACAGGAGGAGGCTCACCCAGCCCATTCCCAAATAACCTCCCATTTTACTAGCACAGGGTGAACAGCATAGTGGCAGCGAACTTTTAAACAGTCCAGAGTTTGGCAGGTGTCTTCATACTGTCCTTACTGAAAAGAGATTTCTTTGAAATCTTCACTCTCCTCCCACATTTTGCTGTTCAAGTGTATTGCTAAGGGGAGCCATTGGCTTAGGCTCTCCTCTTGTCTCATCTCTCCTGTATATAGATATGTATATACACACACACAGAACTAATGCTTCAGGTGCATCATTACTCCTCTTCCTCTTCCTCCAGCCAAGGAAACATATTCCTTTCAGAGCCTGAAAAGAACAATGATCAAGTCCAACTTCCCAGTCATGTGAAGCACCTGGAGCAATATACTCAAGTTCTTGTTAAGGCTCCAGTTATCCATTTCACAATAAATATTTTACAGTGAACACTGCAGTGAAGCTTTCATTTGGTGAAGATAAAACGAGCTTTGAAGCTAAGGTTATGTATGTTTTATGCTGCTGGACAAGCTCATATTACCAGATGGCTGACAGAACCACTCACAAGATAACAATAGGTTGGGAACTAAAGTAATTTAAGCAGAAAATTAAAGGTCAATGATGTTCATCAGCACCTGTACACTTGGTAGGAAGCAAGAAGTGTGTTATGTGAACAGACCCCAGGGGTCTACTCCCACACTAAACTGAGAATTTAACCACATAGAGAAGACTCATCCAACCTTTAAATACAGTAGCACAGGACATGGGAAAGCAGAGTTTGTGCTCCTGTTGCCCCAAGAGCAGTAAGAGCAAAGGCAGGTGATGGACTGTAAACTTCAGCTTTCCCCATCCATAAAGCGGGGAAAGAGAATGCATCCAGGCTTGGTCCTCACAGCCCTTTGTTGTAGCACAGAGAGCTCCCAGGAAGCATACTGCAGCAACGGCACGTACAAGCACACATTTGTTCTCATCTCCAAGAGTGTCACAGAGCACTTTGTTTTGCGTGATATGGTTAAAGATTGCGAGCTGCTCAGATAGCTCAGGTATGAGGGCTGAGCAATCACTTTGGAGGCCAATGCACACCACCATTTCAGACGAGGGACTCCTCAATTTAGGGTTGCTGAAACAGCACTGGCTACGCAATGCTCGAGGGGAACAGCCTTCCCCCACATCATATTTGCCCTGCTATTGCCCATCGCGAGCCTTCTCGGCCAGCCTTAACTATGGGCTAAGATGAAGATCATGTCACTCACCTTTCATTTTAAGACAAAGACTTTGCTGTGGCTGAATATGCACTCTTCACAGAATGCAGTATTGCACTATGCAGCCCTATAGAAAGAACAAAACCCCAAAATACCAGTACACCTCAAAATAAGGAGCAAGTTTCTAATAGGGAAGCTGTTTTAATCTATTTTCGGTCAAGACCTTAAACAGCACAGAAGTTATTCCAGCACTTACCAGCGCAGAACTCCACCAGACAAGCAAAAGTTGCATTATGAAACCAGTTTCACTAAGCAATATAAATGATCTATTCAGAGAGCCGTGTGCCATGTGTTCCAAAAGCCATTTGATGTGCCAGCACAAGTAGGATTTTGACCCTTCATTAAGTAAGGAAGAAACAAAAAAGGACTTAATTTCCAGAAAATACAGTATAATGCCGCACAGCTGCAAGTGTAGCCAAGCGTGTCTAGTTCACTAAGGGGCATGCAAAACTTTGATTTGCATCTAATGCTTCTAAACCACTCTGAAGTTAGGGAAAAAAAACAAATCCAAAAAACCCACAAAACTGACAAACTTCACACGCTCTCAGCTCAGCTTTTAAAAGTCTAAATCCGTCTAAGTTAGAAAATCCAAATCCTTTATTTTCTTCTCCTTAATAAGGAGGGTTTTCTTGGGAAAATACAAGGGAGGGAGGAAAAATAAAAGGTAATTCCTGCCCAATGCTTCTGGGGACTGTCTTGCAGTAAGCAAAGCCTGCCTAGGGCACAACCGGGTCTACCGGTTCAGTTCAGCAGATCTGGGATCAGGCCCTGCTCTGAGGACTATCCACCGTTTGGACTCTGTATGGGTCTCATCACAGCTGCGTATCTGCACCCAGGGAGCGCATTATGCAGCTGCTCTGTGCTCTCTCTCCCCAGGAGAGCTGCAAAGTGTTTTGCATTTTTGTGTGTTTATAGATGAATACAATATGTTAACAAGAGAGCAAGGGCAAAGCCCTGCACCTCACACTTGGAGCAAAAGGTGCCAGATCCGGGATGAACCAGGGGTCTTCTCCTGCAGCAGTCCTACCTGAGGCCATTCCCTTACCCCTAGAAGATCAGGGCTGGTTAATGGGGCTTCAGTTGACTCTTCAGATCTAGTTTTTGAATCAGGTCCTGCAGAGATTTTATATGCTTATTTTAAACCAGGTAAAAGGAAAGTAGTCAACTTCTAGTTCCCAGTACACACCCACTTGTAAGGTGGCAACTGGGATCGATCTCTGAGTCTGTTCCAGTCTGGAGTCCAGCGCGGGCTGATGCTGCAGCATCAGGTCTTTGCACTGAAGTGGCTCATTAACGCATCTACAGAAACTCAGCACTGTGGCCCAGCTCTTCTCCTGTAGGTTTACTAGAATAGCCCTGCTGCAGAAAGACCATCTTCCCTCTGAGGAACTGGTCAGGAAAGATTTCAACAGATCCCCTTCCTCCCCTTTACAGCATTAGGGTTTTGCAAAACATTAAGCACATGAAGGCATTTCATTTATGAAGCAGTTGGAGATCAAATATTTATTGCATTCCTTATAAAACAGTAAAAAGCATCAGATCCACTGAGACAATCTTCCCAATTCAAGACATTTAAATACATATTGCAAACCAATTCTTCTGAGTATTGTGCATATAAAAGTGTCACAGTTCAGGTAGTACAGGATAGATTTTTTTTTCTTCTTTTCTATAAAAAAAAAAAGCAGACAATCTTTTGATTTCAGTCTCTAGCCCTGACAAAAAGTTACACCCAGCTGGCCAGCCAGGGGAAGTACATATCCATACCCCTAACCTCAACGTGCCTGCGTGTGTACAGGTTAGGGTCAGACAGATAAAGCAGATACTGCTCAAGCCTGTACAGGATGCACAGATACCATCCCAAAGAGACAATTGCAGAAGGATACACCTAGATGAGGCAAGCAAAAGGATCTCTGCAGATCCATAGGAATCAACTAGCAGTCCCCACCCCGCCCCTTCCTCGGCCAGCCCAAGGATCGCAGTGCTGCTTGCCTTCCTCCACCTCCCTTGTCTCGGTGTTGTCAGATGACCACTTGATAGCTGGGCTGCTTCATCTTCTGGTTCGTTCCCTGGAGTCCTGAAATATCCTGTTCGCTTTCAGACTGATCAAAATCCATGTCTGGAGAGAGTAACACCTAGAAAGGAGAACACAAAGATGCTGATGGAGTGAAAGTTCTCAGCCCTTCTTGATACTGCTTGCTGAAGGGGTCAAGCACACCTAGAGGGGTCTGCTACAAGATCTAATCCTCTCTGGCAGATAGAAAAGGTCTCAAGGTCACCTTGACCATCTTTGGCAACAGCCAGACAGATTTGGGTGCAGACACCAAGATGATCTGGTGTCCCAACCCCCCCACCCCTCAAGAGCAGAACAGGCAGCTAAAAGCTCTGTTCACCATGGGACAGGACTCACACATAGACATGCATGTTCAGGCCAGGCTGCAGCCTCAGTGGAGATGTACAAAAACTAGGCCATGTATTTTGTAAACATCTCTACCAAATGTAGACCTTTTCCCAGGCCTCCAGCTGCTTGCTATCTCCAGAGCTTAGCCAGAAGAGCAAGCAGAGCTACAGCCATGGCCAGCAAGCTCAGAAGTGGTGTACTAGCCTGGTAGCATCTTATTTTTATCTGGCACATCAGCTCCTGGCTCAGTCTGAATTGTGGGAGCCAAAATAGAGCACTGACACCTCTCACCGGTACCTCTCCAGGTAAGAAAGCCCACAGCTTTGCTGCATGATCAAAAGGCTGCCCATTGCCTCCAGGAACACCTACGCTCTCAGTAGCTAACTTCAGACTTGAAGCTACCAACAGGCTGTTTTGAGCTAAACTGGCTGCCACCAGCCTGGAGCGTTTGCACGACGCAGATGGAGCCACGCGTGGGGCATCCTCCAGCCACATCATCTGGAAGAGGAAAAAGGCCGGATTTTACTCGGGCTACGGCTGCACTGACTGCAGAAGAGCTGAAACCCAATGCCAGCCAGCAGGCTGGACGGACGAACAGTTTGCATGGGTAATATTCACGGCTTGACAGATTATTTGCTTAACCCCATCCTGCCCCTTCTTCTTACCTCAAACACCCAGTGTTGGGCAAGAGAAGCCCTGCTGTCATTACCCCTGACAGTAGCTACTTCTCAGCCCAGTGGCAGTGCGGTCAGCCCTTGCGCTACAGCTTGTCATGCCCAGCAGTACTCAGGATCTCAGCTGAATCATGGGATTTCTGTAAACACTAGTCATCCACACCAGAAGGCTGGACAGGTCCGTAGCACCTCAGCCCCCAACTCTCCAGGGGGGGCACAAGCCTAACAGCACAGCCAAGGGCCTCCAGTTTTATTTCCCTGGGTGAGCAATGCCAGCAGCCCTTTCCCCCTCCACTTGCCCATCACAGAACCCAAACAGCATCATTCGTTCATGGCCGACGCAGGGACAAGAGGCAGGTACCACAACCACCCCCACAAACAGAGCTTCCTCCAGGAAGGCAGTGTAGACCTCCCACCCAAGCCTCAGCCCCATCTCACCCCCCCTTGCTCCAAAGACTGAACCAACGCGCTACGGAGCCTCGCTGCGCCTGACCCACAGCAGCCTTCCAGCTCAAAGGCACAAGTCAAGGGATGGTGCAGGCGCTTTCAGCCAAGCACATCTACCCACAGAGCATCCCCAACAGCTCGGCCAGTCCTGGAACTTGGGCAAAACCAGGAGCATGGAGGAATTAGTCTTATCTGCAGCTATCTCCAGGCACAGCTGTGAATTCACATGCCCTCCACTTGTTAGCACTTCGGCAGCATCAGTCACCACAGCAACAAAATGACTAAACAGGAAAAACAAACTGCAATGACTCAATGACTTCAAAGGAGTAGAAAGAGCCGCAGGGGAAGATTTCCTCCCCACCCTCACGCACACTCCAGCCCCTCCATCTTATGTTGTTATCTTCACAGCAGCAAGTCAGACACTCAAAGGATAGCAGTAGATCAGATTAAGCCCTCTTATGTACCCCCTGCATTGGTCTCAAGGAATATTTTTTGGTTCAAGACACACACTGGGAAGTTTCCATCTCTTCCAAGTGAAAACTTCCTCTGTTTATCATATTAATATTGTGATGCTGTTGAACCTGAAAAAATGGGCGGATAATTAGTCACATGCAGCATTATAAACTCACTGAACTGTGACAGGCTGCAACAGGCTAGTTTTAGGGCCCAATGAACCGGTAATTTCAGTGGGTTTCAGCTGCAAACTCAAATCCCGTTGCAGCCAAGCGTGGCTGACTGAGCAGGCACTAAGCCTTGTGCATCCAGACCCATTCAGGCTGCTACCTGCCCACCATACAACTTGTATGAAGCCGCTCGAGCCAACAGTCCCCCAGTCACCTTTCCGCAATTCTTCAGGGAGGTCCATCACGAGACAACACTGCTCTGACAGTCATGGGACATACCCTCAGATATGGTTTTCAAGCCAAACTCCAGTTTGAGAGTTTTCAGCACAACTTGGACAAGGCGCTTCCCCTGCAGATGCATCCAGGTCAGGATCACAGCGGGTCGGTGGCACAGCTGGGAATGGACCACGGTTTCCCAGTCCCAGGACAATGTGCTACTGTCTCGCTCAGCAGTCCTCAAATACTTCATGCATTCCTCCCCGCACCAGGAGGCCAGCAGCTTGCAAAACAACGTGGGTCACGCTGCTGAAACAGGGCTGCCCATGTGCTCTGTCAACCCTTCCTGTCTGGGGAAAAAGGTTGCCTACTGGTTTGGTACTCCATCCAAGCAGACCCTTCAGATAACCAAGCCATCTCAGTGGCAGAGAAAGAGATTGCACAGACAGATGAGAACTATGACACAGGTTGTAAAACAAAGAAGCTCTGGGGCCATTTCCCTGCTAGCAGTGGAAACTTGTTTGCCTAAAGCTCCACCAGCTTGGTGTAGAGGTAGGAACCATCCCACTGTTCTCCTGCATCTGAGCTTAGATAAGTTCCCACGAGTCAGTAGAGCTGACAGGTGGGAGAGTCTCCTTCCAGAGGCACCCCTATGCCCACCTTCATTTAGCTTCCCCGTAGGACCAGGAACCTTAGTTCACCTTGAGCTATTTAAAAATCAGCTCAGTTAAGCAACCAGAAAATCAAACTCGTTCTTGGAGTATTCTTCAGTACTTAAAAGCAAGCAGCATAGGTATTGGCATTCACCAGCATCTTCAGTCTAGGGATTTGCCAAAAGTCACAGCTCCTATGAAGGGAATTGGGATAGGTGCTGAGCTCCATGCTGACCAAAGGCAGGTCCCCAACCTTAAACAAGCCTCTAGTTTCACCCTAATGGTTCTCACAAGTACCACTGTCATTAGACCAAATTTTGCTTTAAGGCTCGTCTCTGAAAATGTAAGCCTTCAGAAAAGGAGCAGAAACTCACACACCACCCTTGGGAAAAAACTAGAAACAAGTTCAAAAAAAGATCAAATAAAACATTATTAAAACTGAGTTGTTTTCCTGAGTGGAGGAAACAAAGAAATCACTGATAAGATCTAAAGTTTATTGGCACTTGCAAGGGCAAGGGAAAAGAGACACAGGTCAAGGGCAGGACACATACAAAGCAGAATTAAGGGCCATGCAGATGAACGCATTTCCCCAGCCTGAACAAGCACTGGATCTAGTCTGGCACTCTTGAGAGATCTCTTTCCATCCCACGAGAGGGCAAAAAAAGACTGCGTGAAGATTTACCAAGGCAGGGCACAAGTCTGAAACCACAGAAAGCTTTAAGACTGACTTGGAAGGAATGGTGAAACTCTTCCAGCCATAAGAACGAGTTTGTCCCTC